TTCAGATGAGTCTGAAGGTATTGTTATTTGTATGTATTTTATAAATTTTTGCTGAGTATGATGCGTGTTTGTATCTAGTTGTGGATGGTTGTTTAAATGTGCAAACTGTAGTTTAATATTTTTCAATTTTCATCTAAATATTGTTTGTGTGTTGTTCTAATACACAGACGTAACACAGTTAGGTATATTTAGAATTTAGAGGTTACATGTGCTTTTGTGTAAGATTGCTAATTTTAGAGATGATGGTGCATGAAATAATAATTTTCTTGTTATGATTTTATAGATAGAGATTTACTTGAGTTGTTGGCTGGTCTTAAGCCTGTTCAGGATGGATATGATAATGAAAGAGGTGATCAAGGTGATAGGGCAGAAAGTGATGACAAGTTCAGTGATGAGGAGGAAGAAATCACCCAGGCTGTACCATTCAAGTGCATTTGTGCTGCTCATGAGAACTACTACCAACATCATTTGGAAAAGGCATACCTCACTCTTCATGAACAAGATAAACCAGTGAATGTAAGAATACGGCCAGAGCCATTAAATCCAAGGGACCCAAGTGCAATAGCAATTGATCTAGACTATGGAACTGGATGGCCCCATGTTGGTTATATATTGCTTCTGAACTATGCAAGTATTTGCACCCACTAATTGCTGCAAGAGATGTCGTGGATGTCTATGTTCAGCATATCAAGTATAGGGTTGACTTAAATTTAAAATAGGATTTTATCCAAAAATTTTTGTAAAGACATGGTTAGTGCATGGAAGACTCAAATGGTAGGAAAAGCATGAGTGTACTTTGACAGATGTTTTTTATATAAATAATAGCAACTAACTATGTTTAGCAAGTTATTGAAGTGCATTTATTTCAATTGGCTAACTTTTTAGATTTTTTCCAGCATTTTTTAAACAAACCACAGGTTATAAATGATAACTTTCTATATCTAATTAAAACAATCTGTCATGTACACTGATGCAAAATAAGTACATAACTGTAAAAATGCATTAGTAAATAAATGAGTAATTTATCCATGCACTTGACCTACTTTGTTTGTAATTTTTTCAGATTAAAATTAATGCAACACTAAAACAAGAAGATGTCTGTTTATATAATGCACAAGTCAATTCCTGGAGTAACCATCCCCTGGGAATTTGCCTGATAGACAGTTCACGGGGGTCGGGAATTTGCCTGTCATATACCTGTATGGGGGCTTTCTCCCCATTTAAAGTCAGGCTGTACGCAGGCTACATGGGGGGCCGGGTATTGTTATAGTCGCTGAGGACCGCGGGGATTTGACAAATGGTTTCACTTTTGCGAAACGTATTACCTGTGCCATGCGAATAAAGTTTTATAATATTCCATAGCAGTTTAATAGTATAATGTTATTAAATGACTATGCCTATGATATGCATTCATCGTCCCCAGGGTGGGGCATTTTCCACTCTCAGCTTGCCCAAGGGCCCTGCATTAGTCTCCTAGTTGTGTCCCGGCACACTTCTTCTATTAACTGTGCACTATTGTAACCAGTCAAATCAAATGCCCGGGTGTGTTCCGGGGGGGGGGGTTACTCCTGGAATTAACTCGTGCATAATATTTATTAAATTTCAATAAATTGACCACAATAACATGCCTATATGATAATTATAATTTGATATATGATGTACATGATAATACAATAAAAACTTGTTTTAATGTTTTAAATGGGCTGTTATAACACTGAGTTGTCCATGGTGAGGATTCGGCAGCTCGATTTGCAACAAAAACCCCAGGATCAGGCGATCAGCTCGTATGGGAATATGTACACGATCCAGTCGCGTCGGCCAAAGGCAGAAAAAACTTTGAAAATCGCACAGATATAAATTCTACAAAAATATTGAAACAACTCATAAGTCTTTTAAATAATATTTTAACACTTTAACAAAAATTCATTGAAAATATTATAATCTTTGATGGCGCAATTCTTTCCAAGGTATTAGACGCCATTTTAGCGAACGTCGAGTTGACAATAGTCGCTTCAATGGCCAATATCTCGAAAACTGCCGGGTGATCACCGGGATCATTCCAGCAGATTTAAAGCTTATATTTTTTTCTTGACGACTGCCAAAAATGAGGAAAATCGAACAATGGAAATTCTAGATATTTCATTTTAAACATTGTAAACATATTTAGACTTGAGTCAACACGTCGCGGGGAGTCGTCTAATTTCAAACATTAAAATGACATTAAAAATAACGTTTACCTTAGAGATTTTTGCAGATATCACCAGATCTTTAGCCGTAGTACCACTACACTTGGCATTTTGCAAGAAAATGTTAATATTAATGTTTTTTCTCGATTTATTTTCCGTCGAATACAAATTTTTCTGCCCAAATTCTGCAGAAAGCACGATGGAAAATAGAGCGATCTCATTGGTCGAGAGCTCACGTGACAACTCGCTAATTGCTTGTCCGACCTCCTCTGACGCGGGGGTGGAGTTTGTGCATTCGTAAAATCAAATATCCCATCCGTGCCTCTTCCTGACTTATGTTGTCCACATCACGAGAGTCTGTGGCTAAAACATCGACCCTATCGACTTCCACGAGAATATTCCTGCATAGTTGTTGGTCTTGTATACCATCCTCCGCAGGCTGATAATAACGAACTGTATGACCACCTCATAACCTCGTTGGACAAAATTTTAGCATCTTACCCAACAGCAGGTGTAATTGTTATGGGTGACTTTAACCAGTTCGACTCCAAACGCCTTTGCAGAAACACGTCACTTAAACAAATTGTAAAGAAACCTACCCGTGGGTATGCAACTTTAGATTTAATATTTACTAATATGAAACGTTGTTACAATGACCCTGAAATACTCCCTGCTATTGGACAATCGGATCACATGTCAGTCCTGTTACATCCCGTTAGTAACAATCACCGCCCTAATACCATTACCAAAGTCTGTGTCAGAAAGCGGAAGCAATCAAATATGCAGGCATTTGGTCGATTTCTTTTGGATCTTAAATGGAATGTACTTTCGCAGCTACCCGATTGTCAAAAAATGTGTGACCTGTTTTATGACATTATTCTCATGGGTTTGGATACAATTTTCCCCAAAAATCTGTTAAACTTCACTGTAGAGACAAAGCGTGGATTACCCCTGAAATCAAACTCCTCATCTCCCAACGACAAAAGGCCTTTGCCTTGGGAAATACAATTGAATACAACAAATTGCGAAATAAAGTAATTCACGTCGTGAAACAGGCAAAGTCTAAATACTTCGAGTCTCAAGTGAATCATCTAAAAATTCAAAGCCAAGGAAATGGTGGAGTGCTATTAAAAACCTAGCTGGCTTTTCTTTAAAGCCTGCCTTCCATTCTGCAGAGGTGAATGGAACTATCTTGCAGGGACGAGACTTAGCACTCGCTGTTAATAACGGGTTTTTAGCCGCCACTAAATCGTTACCGCCGCTTTCAATTACTGATAAATTATCTGTGGAAGAACCTACTGTTTTGTACCCTATCTCCGTTGTTGATGTTGAATCGCGTTTAAAAGCAGTTAAAACGAATAAAGCTCCTGGTCCAGAATCTCTGCCAAATTGGATTCTCAATAACTCTTCAATGGAGATTTCAGAACCTGTGACAATGATTTTTAATGCCTCCATTAAACAAGCACAAGTTCCAATGCAGTGGAAAGAAGCAAATGTCGTTCCCGTCCACAAGACATCCTCGGTCACGGATATATCTTCAGACCTGCGACCTATATCTCTGACCGCCACGCTCTCAAAGGTTCTTGAATCATTTCCATTTCAATGGATTATGGATACCATTAAGTCTCAGTTGGACCCAAAGCAATTCGGATCGTTAAAAGGCTCTTCTACGATAGACGCATTAATTAGCATGTTCCACTGTTGGTATTCTAACACAGACGGCAATGGCGAGACTGTTCGTGTTTTTCTGCTTGACTTTAGTAAAGCATTCGACAGAATCAACCACAAAATCCTGATAAAAAAATGCAAATACTAAATATTGATAAATCCTTAATAAACTGGGTTATTGATTTCCTGATGCAAAGAAGACAGAGGGTGAAATTGCGTTCTTCGTTCTCTGATTGGTCCTTGGTAAATGGAGGCATCCCGCAAGGTACAATCCTTGCCCCATTACTCTTCCTCATCATGGTCAACGATTTGGCTATTAACCACAAAGATAGATGGAAATATGTTGACGACACTAGTCTCTCCGAAACAATCGGTAAAGGTTGTCAAAGTAACCTGCAATCAGTTATTAATAATATCGATCAATGGTGCACGGAAAATGATATGATGCTTAATCGTTCTAAATACAAAGAGCTAATTATTTTGTTCGCTAAGGACGTCCCTAATCTTCGACCATTGTTTATTAACGATCACTGTATGTCCCCAGTTTTATCAGCAAAGGTTCTTGGTCTGTACTTTTCTTCTGATCTTAGTTGGAACTTACATGTTGAACACATAGTATACAAGGCACCAAAGAGACTTTTTTTTCTCCGAGTGCTTAAACGCAGCGGTCTTGGAGTGAGTTCTCTAATTCAAGTCTATACCACATGTATACGACCTGTGCTTGAATATGCATGCCAGGTTTGGAACTTAAACTCCCCTGACTATTTAAAGGAAGAAATCGAAAGAATTCAGAAGCGAGCCCTACGAATAATATGTCCTGACCTGTCATACCGCAAAGCCTTGGAAGTTCATGAAATATCGTTGCTCTCTCAAAGACGAAATAATTTATGTAAATCCTATTTTAAGAAACTTTTCAACCCGGAAAATAAATTGAATGAACTTATCCCTAATAAACGCGAGGACTTACGTACTTACAATCTACGTAATGATCAGCATATTAACTTAATTAATTGTAAGACTACAAGGTTTAGTAAAAGTTTTATTGCTTCTAGTATCGTATCATATAATGATTCATTTTAATTGTAATATAAATTTTAGTTTTAATATACCGTATATTACTATATGTATTAGTTTTACCATGTATTTTAAATGTCAACTCTGTACAATTCAGCTCTTAGCTGCCATTCAGATTTTGTAATAAATTCAATTCAATTCAATTCAAAAACGCTGCAATGCTGTCGTCATTTTTCTGGCCAGTGCGCTTACTTACTACAGGCGATCACGTATTAAAATATTAGAAACGGCAGACCGGTTCAGAGGGGTGAATGCCTCTCATAAGTGCACATGGATAGGAACATGTCGACACTGTGCTGAGCCTGAAACTCGAGTATAATCGTTTCTTTAACAATGTAAACTTCGTCCATGCATATTTTCTCCAATGTCTTAATAATTATAATATAGAGCAAGTTAGGGGCGATTAATCAATTTATGGATTTCATTTATAATGAAAATAAAATAATGAAGAGTAAACTTACCAGTATGTTGTTACAGTCTGCTCGATAGCCATGGGTAGGAGTTGTGATGAGTTCAGTCTTGATATTAACATAACTATCAGTCGTGTAACACATAGTCCAACCTCCGCCAAATGATGTCATGTCACAATATACTTCGAACGGATTGCCTTCGCCTTCTCCATCTGGGTCTATCAAATATTTTCCGTTACCTTGACTTAAACCTTTATTTTTAATATCGAAACAGCTAGTGCCTGAAAAGCAGATAAAGAGTTGTTTGATTTAAGAGTCTTACAATACACAGAATTACTAGAAATACATGCACGCAATAACCCCTCGCCTATATTTTTCTAATGTTGTTTCAGAACTAAGCATTGCATTTCAGTGATACGTAGATCAGGAATCAACAATGTCAAAATTCATATTATGAACGGCAGACCTTCATCACAAGTATTTGCACCGCCGGGAGGATTGCGAAACATCGTCTGACAAAGAATGAATGTCAACAATGTCCGACAAAGAATGTTATTTACGAGATCACTGAAATGTTCACATTGCGGAATAGTATATGTTTGAAAAACCGGTAGAACAATCAACAATTGGGTCGCGAATCAAGGAACAGTTAAAGATGGACAAACAAACCGTGTACAAACATATAGAATCTTATAGGAATGGACGACCTGATCAATGTGACATAATTTGGAAAACACTGCATAAAAATATAACACACCAAGATTTGAAGCTTTTGAAATACATAATCGTAGCGAAAATAATTATGAATCGTATATTGCTTGACGCGAGAACATAAATCCATTTATTTTTCCGGTTCGTAATCCCAGGTCCGTCATGTAAATGGAACCTTCTGATTGGTTGACGAGACACATGATATACGGACCTCTCGCACACGTTAAGGCCCATCTACACGATGCGATTTTCGCTTACGATTGTTGTATGCAACTTGCTGACGCCATCCCTGCGACACGAATCGTGCCGTGTAGATAGCCCTACAACTTGCTTACGACAGTCGTATGCAACACAAAAAAGTCGTAATAATTTTAAAACTTGTTTTTAAACTTGTCTGAGGACAGTCAATCAACGCTAAAGTACGATAAACCAATATAGTAAACTGAAAACAAGTTTCCCTTTGCCCTCCCCTACTTACACCATTTGTACCATGTATATGCAGAGCATGCAGTCAAGTCTATGTTGATTATGAATTGGATTATATTTTATATTATTATGTATTTTCTATTATACTATGATCACCTGGGTTTCTTTTGCCTGTCATTAAAATGCATTAAAAAGTCAGCTGGAATGTTTTTATTCCCAGAAGAATATACATCACCTTGGTAAACATGGTATTACCATAGATATCTTATATACACTAGATAGCGCATCTCTTTTAGTAAAATTGAAGCCAAGAATATTCCAGCGGTTACCCCCATTTGAATAGATGGCGGCCATGTTGGTCGTTCCCACTTACTAATAAACGCTTCAAAACAACAATAACTTTCATCATTTGAATATTTTAAAAACGAATTTGGAATAGGGTTAACTTAATGTTTAAGTTCCCTGTTTAAGAAATAGGAAACATACGAATCTTCTAATTTCATGGGAACGACCTGAGACTGCAATCACGGCTTCAATTTTTGAATTGCAGAGTAATTAGATGCGCTATCTAGTGTATATATAATATCTATGGGTATTACAAACTAATATCACAATAACATTTCCATAAATTAAGGATTAAATGTACCTGCAAGCTTCAGGAGGTTTTTTGAAAGTTGCTCGTGTCAACCTTTGGGATTGACAAACCTCCTGAGCTTGTGCGGATATTTAATCACTAATTTCTGGATATGTTGTGATGGAACTATAATACTTATATTAATATAATAGATAAATGTTTTTTTATTAATAATTGATTTCAAATATTTAAATGTTTAATAATTATCGATCAATAAATATATTTTAAAAATTGACTGCATGTATTGATACTACATAGTCAAATCAAGGTGTTCCATTGCCAAGGCACCTGGCCAGCTCCATTAAAATGTTCACAAAGGATTTCTCGCATTTCCTTGGCCTTAACAGCTGGTCGGCCTTTTCTGGAATTTGGAAAGGCTGCTAGGTTGCTTGCCACATCATCAATTCTCCAACTGCCATCTCTCGTTCTACCAAGTTGATCTTCACTATCGACTGCTCCCTTAGGTATGTACCTGTTTGGCACTTTGGCTCTCAGGAAATTATGAAGTGCCAAGGTTGCAAGTATCACCTTAACAGCATATCAGGCTTAATGGAAAGAACAGTAGAATACACTCTAAACCTGGTCGACAAAATTCCAAAGACATTCTCACTAACCCGTCTCCCCCGAGAAAGCCTGTAGTTAAATCTTTCCTCAGAAAGGCCTCGTTGGGCAAAAGGCTTCATGATACTTGTCTCAAGAGGAAAATCGTCATCGCCGGCAAAGAAGTATGAGATAGGAACATATGAGTCAGGATGAAACAAAGAAGGTGAAGAGAGAAGAGGCTTAGGTTTGGGTAGATTAAGTTTGTCGTTAACCAGCTCAGACCAGAACAGGGTATTCCTCATTACCCCACTATCACTAATTCTACCCTGACATCCAACATCAGCAAATATAAAGTTATAATTTGCATCAACTACAGCAATTAATTTAATTAAGACAATGCTGTAGTAACCCTTGTAATTATAGAAAACAGATCCACTGTTGCGAGGATGTAGAATGCGAACATGCTTTCCATCAGCAGCACCAACACAATGTGGAAGTTGCCATACATCTTCAAATCCAGCAGCTATTGCCAACCATTGTTCTTAATTCTCAGGGAAGTGTAAAAATTCATCTTTCATGACATCAAATACAGCCTGGCAAACTTCTGGCACAATGAGGGCAATAGATGATACTGAAATTCTGAATTGGTAATGCAAGCTGGAATAGAACTCTCCTGCATACTATACATTCTAATTTACATTCTAAAGTTTGAGTTTTTCTCGAGTTTTATTGAATAATTGCAGAAAATTTTCATGACTTTCCTATAATTTATTATAGATAAAATTAACAGTCCGTAAGTGATTGAAAATATGCAGACATGCATGCAGCAATAGTTCGCGCATTGTCTGTGCGCCTATTGCCCAGTTTACGTATCAGAGCGCGAAGGTTCACGGGATAGCGTCGTTTCAATTTTTTGTGCTTGAATTCCAGTTGATATTTACAATTTATTTATCAAGTTTTTCTATCCCAAACGATGGAAAAGGCATCGGAAAGGTCTTAAAATGTTATTCAGATCTCACAGGTAAGAATATTTTATTTTGACTTGTTATTTAACCGCTTTAATTGCGAAAGAATGTAGTGAATAATATGTGATTGTTTACTTGAGAGTCGAGTCATTTGCCATTTTGCCTAAAATACCGTTGAATGTTTGAATTTGCCGCGTTCAATTTGCATAAAAACCTACGAAATGTTGGTTTCTGGCAAGGAAAGAAAAAATAAACGCAAATTCATTATAGCAAATTCAATGCCAGTCTTTCCCCAGCTGGTATTGCTTCCCTCATATTGGTGTCCTTCCTGGTCAATTTCATCTGCACTTTAATTTCTCCAGCAAGCACTATTTGAAAATGTTTAAAAGCATTGTTTATAATGAGCGAAAGTTTGGGGAGGGGTTATTATAACAACAAGATATTTAAAACACTGAAAAAATACAAAAATACATTTACAAACACAGTAAACCTATAAATATACGAGAGAAAATATTTTATTATTGACGCGGATCTCGGCGTACACAGTCACAGCTCAAAACAAATATAAAATAAAATTCAAATTCTGGACAAAAATGTGGCTTTACCATGGCTAAAATCGACTAAATAGTGTTTTTAACAACAGTGGAAGATTCTACACGGTTTAGCGAAATTTTAAAATAATTTATAGTGGTGTATAAAATTATAGCAAGGGCACGAAAGCGTGAGCATTGACATTGCGTTGTTTACCGACGTTTGCATTGTTTTGCATTATCAAAATGTCTCGCACATTTAGCTCATAATGTCTTGTGCAATTTGCAGTTGAACAAGTAAATTAGTCAACGAAAACTTAGTCGTATGTATATGGCTTCATAAATCTATCTAAACAGCAAACACATACCTCAAATGTTGACGTATCCATTTCTCAAGTATCGACGATAATGTTCTGGGTCTTCGAGTCGTAATTCCTCCATTAACTGACGAAAAACACTACGTTCGTTCCTCTTCAACCATTCTCTGGTCCACAATGATCTTCTTCGCCTTTTTCTCCTTCGTTTTATGATAAGCGCAATACTTATAAGTGAAGCAAGCTTAATACTAGGCTCCATTACTTTCACGTTGGTTGAAATTTCCAGTTTGTTCTGAAAAATTTTCAGCTGGTTTGTTTTGAAAAGATTTCGCACCAGGCCTAATATATCTCTCGGTTGGAAAAATCGCATGCAATAATCATACCATGGATAATAAAATAAATGAATAGGAAACTAGCTGACGTGACCTAATGTTTTCAATGGGCTGATGGCGTGATTGGATGTTGAAACCTAGTTGCAAACCAAATTCTCAAAAACGGCATGTTTAGCAATAATATATACAGCTAAACATTTTAGTCAAAAAGCAAATGAATATAACTACGCCATTCTACGATGACATCTCTAAGTATTCCCAGTCAATTTTAGCAAATATTTCAAGCACTAAACAGTGAAAAAGGCATTCCAAATTTCGTTAAAATTGGGGACGCCAATTTCGTAGCTACAAATGTAAAAAAAATACAAAGACGAAAACATTTACCTTGAATACTTTGTCGTGGCTTAGGTATGTTTTTAAAACAATTAGACCAGTATATGCTTCAATATTACTCTTTTAAAGCGGAAAGTATAGCGAAACAACAAAAATGCCGAGAACTTTGCAATACGCGTGACGTCACAGATTGCAACTAGGTTGTTTTTGCTTACGTCAGCTAGAGTCCTATCCATTTATTTTATTATCCATGATCGTACCTAAACTCGTAACGTCTAGATATACGGCGCAAAGTCGCAGGGATGGCGTCAGCAAGTTGCATACAACAATCTTAGTAAAAATCGCATCGTGTAGATAGGGCTTTACGGACCTCTCGCGTTTAGCGCCAAAACAAACAGAGGAGTGAAGACAATTTTCATACTGAAAAAGTTATCCAAAAGTTGAAATATCTTCCCTATCGATACTAAAGATAGAAAAATAAGCTGACCTGACTTCAATGGATTTAATGTCAAGCCCGAAATGTTCTTTTTTCCGACATAAATGGGCACAAAACAAGTATTTCTTTGACATATACTGCATGTATACTTTAGGTATCGAAATATCAGTGCTAAATGTTTAGTTTTGGCAAATTGTCAGCTATACTTCGAAAAATGTGCGTTAAAATATATATAAATACTGGAACTAAGGACTTGCTTGAAACATATATATATATAAAATGTTGAAAAAATACGTTAAAACGGCAGTTTAAACATATTTCTAGACTTATTTCAGTCATATATAAAGTGTTGTCATGAAGACAATATTTTGGGCAAGTACAATTTGTTGCTGCGTTTCGAAAGAGCATTTTTGAAACATATTATTAGGCTAAAATGATCATATTCGGCCATATTCTGTGGCACGAAAAGTCGCTTAGAAAACGAATTCCGTTGCCCGGGTTCGGGCACTACTTTGAAACAAGATAAATAATTAGGATAAATTATACAAAGTCCAAATCCGCTTGTTTACACTTCCCAAAACCTGCAGTTTTCGAGTATTTCTTCTTCGAAAATTGAAGAAATCGACGTCTTTCGCAATCGATCGCTGCCATTTTTGTTCTGGATACTTGGTGTAATAAACACTATAAATGGCGATTTTCGCGGGCTCACGCTCGTTCTTACATGAAGTTTCCAGCTTAGCATTTGTAAACATGGCGTCTTCTGATTCATGTTTAATTCATTTTGATGGGAAAAAAGGCCCACTTACAAGTTTTAGTGTGGTTTCGTGTAAAAAATTTTTTAGATTGTGGTAGAATTTGACTAATGCTAGACGGGGAAGAACGCAATGTTGCTCGAAGAAGTTTGCAATTTGTTAGCGACAGCATGGAAAGCACGGTCGAAAATATCGATGCAAATTTCTCTTTATATCATCGAGGTTGTTACTCGGCATTCACAAATGGCAGTATGATGGACAAAGGTGGTGTACCTTCATCCTCTGGTATCGATATTAATATTGATGGAGAAACGGAATCAGATGAATACGAGTGCGGCAGCTAAATCAAGGAATCCCCACTTGTTGCCATGCGTTTGTATAATTTGCAAATCAGAAAAGTCGTATTTCACTGAATCAGTAAGTTTATTGACTTTTCTTTTTTTTACAATTATTGTTACTTTTCTAATATGTATTTTATAATTATATATTGATTGCATTGCCTTTAGCTGCTCCCGTTATAATGGTGTGATTTCTATGCAAGGGTTTTTTATTATTTAGAAGTCGAAAAAGCGAAAGCTGGACAAAATGGTATTTGTGGAAACAGTAAGTTGGTGGTGGTAAACTGAAAGAAGCTGCAACAAGGAAAGCTGATGAAAGTATTTTGATTCAAATTGGCATTGAAAGTGAAATATCATAAACATTGACATTGTTATGAAAAGTATACAGAGTGCCTCAGTCAAGCAAGTGTTAGCAGAGAGTTTTATGGATGATGACATAGAAACGTCTCAGAGTTCACAAGAGTCTGAATCTGATCATGACATTGGAACGAAAGCATCCACGTACAGTGTCAGTACACAAGTACAAGACTGAAAAAAATTTATACAGTTGGCCTAACATTGAGAAACAACTTGCAAAGACTGTTGCAAAACAGTGTACATCGAAACAGTGTACAAGAACTGGCCACCACATGCATCAGATATTACTGGTGAAAACATTAGTATCACCTCTCTTGTTTACTTTTATGGTATGGATGCTTAGGTTTTCAGATGACCCAGAAGATGCTGACTACATTGAATTAGATGACCAAACTACATCGAAGATTTTCCTCCGTGTCAAGATTTGGTCTACATTTCTAATAGGGGGAAAGTACAGACACCCAAGTCCCTAGCACTAGCAATGACCGTTCGGCAGACGTTTGGTTGTTCTGGCCTGGTTTGTGCTACAGCTATTGGACAGGCAACTATCAACACATCAACATTATTCCAGTAATATCTGATGCATGTGGTGGCCAGTTCTTGTACCAAGCTGATGTACAAGTTGTTTCTCAATGTTAGGCCAACTATATACAATTCTTTCAATGTTGCACTTGTGTACATGGATGCTTTCATTCCAATGTCATATCAGAATCAGACTCTTGAGAATTTTGAGAAGTTTCTATGTCATCATCCATACAACTTTCTACTACACTTCCTTGACTTGCATAAACAATTTCACTCTTGTTTCATAACTTTGGTCTATGGAAACCTTTTTATAACATTGTTTATGGTATTTCACTTTCAATACTAGGTTCTTCAGCAATTTGAATCAAAATAATTTCATCAGCTTTCTTTGTTGCAGCTTCTTTCAGTTTACCACCTACTTTTTCCGCAGACACCATTTTGTCCTGAATAATAAAAAACCCATGCATAGAAATCACACAACCGTTATAATGGGAGCTGCGAAAGGCGCAATCAATACTATATAATTATAAAACACATATTAGAAAAAATATCAATAATTGTAAAAAAAATAAATCAATAAACTTACCGACTCAGTGAAATATGACTTTTCTGATTTGCAAAATTGCAAATTATAAAATTGCATGGCAACACATGGGGATTCAATGATTTAGCTGCTGCACTTGTATATCACATATTGTAACAAGTCTGCCAACAAGCCATCAACAAGATGTATTCGCACTGCTTGTAACAAGTTGTTAACAGGTTTGGAACAACTTGTTGACAACTTGTAACAACCTTGTTGAAGTTATTGCACTTGTTGCAAGGTTGTTCTGACAAGTCTGTTACATGCTTGATATGACAAGATTGTTACAACCTTGTGTTGACAACCTTGTAACATCTTGTTATATCATGGTTGTAACAAACTTGTTAGCACAGTCTTGTAACAAGGCTGATAATGCCATCAAGCTTGTTACAAATTGTTAACAGCTTGTTTCAAACTTGTTACAACAAACTGGGAACAAGCAATGTGAACACAACTTGTGAACAGACTTGTTTGTGTTTACAATGCTAAGCTGGAAACTTCATGTAAGAACGAGCGTGAGCCCGCGAAAATCGCCATTTATAGTGTTTATTACACCAAGTATCCTGAACAAAAATGGCGGCGATCGATTGCGAAAGACGTCGATTTCTTCAATTTTCGAAGAAGAAATACTCGAAAACTGCAGGTTTTGGGAAGTGCAAACAAGCGGATTTGGACTTTGTATAATTTATCCTAATTATTTATCTTGTTTCAAAGTAGTGCCCGAACCCGGGCAACGGAACTGAACGATATCGTGCCACAGAATACGGCCTATATATACATATATACACCTTAGTACATAATATTAACATCATATTCACCTGAGTACATAACACCAACACAGAAAAAATCATGATTACTATCTTGTATATATGTTTTAAATATTTGCATAAAATATCGAAGCAATTGAAATATTTTTAAATATATACATATATCGCGATTTTGAATATTTAAAATAAACAAGCGAATTAATATATATTATAGTTGACTTTTCTTTTTCTGATTAGTCGAGCAATTACGCTTTCCACTTTATAATATTTTAAGGTCTTCTTGGTTGATTTTGTATAAAAGTCGACAGTACTTAAATTATTTAGTTTATTATAAAAGGCTGACCGCCATCTTGAATATTTCTGCAAATGAATCTGCAATCCCATGCCGCTGAGTGTATGAAATTTCTAGCCATGTGTATCTCAGAAACAAAATACTATACGTATGCAAATATACCTGGTGAAGTACTGTTACTCTCTTTCTTTCTTTTCTTTTCTATCTTTGCCTACATGAAAATTAAGTAGATAGAGAAGATATTATACACGATAGCATGCATCCTCAGCGTTCGTTTTCAAATTTTAATAAAATTGATTGGCACACTACTCGTAATATTGTTGAGACTGGACGCAATTTAAAAAACATCGACTGCACATAATTAGAATAACGTGCGTCGTAGATTCAATTCGTAAAACAACACGCCTGAGTTAATTAAATTAGTTAAATGTTGCTCACAGTTAATAAAATAAGATGGTTTGGCTAGCCGCCAAACTTCAAAGGGATTCGGCGCCGGCGGCAAAATATGTTGAGGCACAAAGGGAATAATGTCACGTGACAGCGTTTAGTGCATGGCCTGTATCAAAACAATAGGAGATTATATTACAGTTGTCATTGTTCTCATGTTTCGTCGAGAAATAACTGCACTTAAATAAATCAGTTTCTTGTCAAACTTAAATATAACAAAGTTATAATTATGGACGACGATTTGGAAGCAATAGTGTCTATTCCAGAAGAATTAGAAGACGAATTTAGTTCGAGCAACGTTTGCGAGGAGTTAGCGCTTGTTCAGGATGATGGGAGCTGTAAAGATATTTTGCCGTTTAACTTTGATGTCGCTTTATCTGTGATCGCAGGAGACGATGAAACTATTGAAGAAGTGATTGCAGAAGCTCTGTGTGAAATATCCGGCGGAAAGTCTTTTCTTTGCAATATCTGCGAGGAAGTTTGTAAGTCGAAAGGTGGTTTGACGAGACATGTAAACTCTAAACATGGCAACACAAGCACTAAAGGACACGATATAACATTCCTTCGCTTACAAAATATCCTTTATTGTGGATAAAGTAAAGGACCAAGATAACGGAAGATGGTTTCTGGGACAGTGAAATGACTTCAATCATGGCCAATGTATATCAAACAATTCCTTGTAAATCGTATTCTGCCAATTTATCAACGATTTTGTCGCAAGAAAAACAAGATAAATGTGAAAACCTATTCCTATTGAAATGTGAAAACCAACAATTATGTAGCCTTATTATGATTTCAATACCAGATCATTTAGTATCATTTTTCAGAAATCATTTAGTATCATTTTTGTGAAGAGTATTCCGTCTGACAAATTATGCAAATATGACGCTCTTGACTCACCATTGCTAAAATCGCTCTGGGAAAATATAATTACAGAACTGTGGTCAGGAAACTTCAAAACAAACACAAAAACTTTCAATGGAAAACATAATAACACTTTATTTGAGAGTTTGTAGCTTCTCATAGCTTCTATATAAGCAAGTTTAAGATTCAGCAAAAAGCAGCAAAGAGAATTCTCTAAGGAAAGGACTAAAAAGGAAAAGTGAGCAAAACAAGTAACATACACGGCTAAAAACGCGCAGGTTGTTGCAAGTTGATATCGACAGGCGTGAACAATGTTGTGCGGCAAACTATGAACAAGTTGTCAACCATGTTGTTCCAAGTTGTTACAGTTGAACAATGCTGTAACAACATGTTGACAGTACTGTTCATAGTTGGTCTCACAACATTGTTCACGCCTGTCGATATCAACTTGCAACAAGTTGTTGATTTTCTCAATTTTTACGCGTGTATATAATGTACTTTTGTAACCTAATTATGATATATTAAAAGAAATTGTATGCTGTAATCTTGACTCTTTATTAGGGAATTCTCAGTTAATTTCTTTGTAGTTATAATTAAATTGAACTTCATTGTTTATAATGAGATGGAAGTATGAAAATGACTGTTTTGCCATATGTCAGCTACAATCAGTTTCAAAAGTCTTGGGACAGATGCCACAAAACCTTTGATTTTCAACAAACGACAATCCCCCCGCCCCCTGTTCAATGTTGTGTTCCATTTCTCGTCGGATTTGATGTGTTTGGGTTTAAACAACATTGATTGGGGTGGGGGAGGGAGAGGGGAGCGGTATTGTGTGTAAAAAACTGTAATGATCCACTTACAAGCTAAAACTACATGTGTCCCAACAACTTCTGAAAGTGATTGTCTGGGCCCCATATGCCATAACATTGTACATCTCAAAAGTACAGGGGATAGAATGCTCTGCGAACGAAGTATTTCAGCTCCATTTCGTTCACAGAAGATCTAATATAACATTATAGAACCATTAAGTTTCATTAAAATTCTCAAAGTTAATAATTAACAGAATATGAATATATTTTTTTTTGTCATATAGCATTCTTAATCACAAAGGTTTTATACGTTTGTTTCTACATATTTCGGCAGAGCACAAGTAGGTTATTTGAGAGGTTATAGTCCGTATATAAGGGCTGAGTCAACAGTTAATTCGGGTACTCCGAAGGTAAAGAACGTTTGATTTTTATCACCAATAGTCAATGTGACATTTCACATCTTTCTAGAGCAGAATTTGCAGATATATTGTCGACGCATGGGTACGAAGGAGCACTCAGTGGGTGGGAATTTCGGAGGCT